CTCCTCTACCCTGTTCACTTCTGATTCTGCACTTAGGTTCACATCAGCTTCTTTGCTACATAAAGTAAACCAGGTTAATGCCTGTAAAATAGGTTTTATTACATACGAGTTCAGAGTAAAAATCCTACTGTTTATATCCTCTTTCTCTCATGTTGCTATTTCAGAATTACAGTGAAGCTATGACCTGATGTACTGTGTAATTTATTTTAATTTTTTTGTCATAAAACCAGTAGTATTTCAGGGCAAGCTAAGAGAAATTTGTGTCAAAAAGGGGTTTCAGCCCTGATGTGCCATTTAAATCGAAAAGTTCTTTCAGTCCTCTGAAAAGCATGCATCACACCAAAGCTACAAAATTGCTCTGATTCTCTTTTAGTTTCTGTGCCTGCCGTCTCTTATCTCGCTGACAGGGTTATTACAGTTCTGCCATCCTGTGGGGTCGGGTTTTGTTGGTTGGTTTGGGGTTTTTTTTCAGACTTGTAATTTAAGAAAAACTCAGTGCAAATTAGATAGGCAATGTTTTCATTATGTTTGAAATTTCAAGTCCAGCCAGTTGTGGATGGCCGATCCTCTTTGGTAGAAAATCGAATCTCCCGAGTACAGCATTATCATAGCGTGTTCAAAGTCAGTGTTTGATATTTGGAGCCGCAAGTAGCCAGAGATACACGGTGTATTGAAATGTGTGGGGTTGCAACCAAGTTAAGTTTAATATGGTGTAAACACATTACCGATAAGTGGTAATATAATGGTCATCGGGTGGTAATATAATGGTCATTGAGCTTCATCCTCAGATCATATCTCATTAATGATGCTCCTGTATCATAGACATAAGGAAACTGCTTAACAGGACTCTTGATGAATATATTTTGTGATGGGGGATTTCTAAATGAGGGCTGAATGGTTTATCTGGCCAAATCGGGATGGCTTTCTTCATGTTTAGATGATCACTTGCATATTTCATGGTTCGAATGAGCTCTTAAATCCTGGAGAGGAGGGCTGTATCGTATGCTCTTGCTATCAGAGATGTTTAGAGCATACAATGAATTTGCAGAGCTCCTTCCTAGGGCTGCAGAAAGGCAGGATGACTGGTTGTAAAGGCTTTCACAAGGGGCACAAATGAAAACTGTGCAGACTTTATTAAGGCATATGCAAATGTCTGTGTATCCATTCATTTGAGTAATCTTAATGTCTTTAGTTTCTTGAGATAAAAAATCCTGCCAAAGTAGCGGTTTACTTTATTGACCTAAACTGTCAGATTAGCAGTGTCATTCAAATGTGTCTGTTGTATTTATTTCTATGACAGCCCGCACTCTGAAGAGCAATTAGGGATTATTTTGTGTATTTCTCTGAGGTCACACTTGTCTGATTACAGTATTTCTCTTCCTGTGGAAAGTGAGAGCTTATTTAAAACCAGCCATTTCCCTGGGCTACTGAGGAACGTGTCTGAATAACTTGGAAAGCTTTAGCTGGTAGGGATTGGCTTTTTGAGCGTAAAGGGTGGAGATTGTCTTTTTGATCCAACAGGTAGGATTCCACTTCTCCTGGGTTCTTTTTATTTCCCATCTTGAATGTCAGAGGAGGGCAAAGGTGGTAGGAATGTGGTATCTTCATCTGGTAAAACTTCTGGCTGGTTCTAGGTTACTATCGTTGCCCTAATCTGATTAACCTGGCTGGGGACTCACAAGATAATCCTGGTGGAGCATGACCGCGATCTAGTTTTACAAGCTCCACAAAGATGCAGAGGAAGGGGCGTTCCACTTTCTATCAGGTATCAGCCTTAAATTGGAGAGGACAGAGAAGATTCTGTTTTCTATGTGCTTTGTTCTTGCAGATCACCAGTTTCTGGTGTTTATTAAAAAAAAAAAAAAGTGTGGTGTTATGGTTTGTTTGGATTTTTTTCTCCCCAGCTCGTCTGTTTCACTTCTGGTGCCTCTCACTGCTATTTCAAAGCCTTTTAGTTTTCTCCACATTTTCTGCTGTGATGCATCTCTGGCATTGCAATCAAATGATTTCTTAGTCTTCTGTCAAACTAAAGATTTGACTATTTAAGGAATTAATTGTAAAGTGGTTTCTTCAGCCCCAGAATAATCTTAGCTCTTCTCTGGTTTTTGTTTTTGTTTTTTGTTTGTTTGTTTGTTTGTTTTGTTTTTTGTTGTTGTTGTTTTGTTTTTTTTAAATCTAGAAGGAATAAAAAAACCCCACTCCTTCAGAACCGTGATCATAAAAGTTCTGTGTCTACTCTGATGTGACATACATCATTTGTTATTAATGGCATGTGTAACTGTAAATGTAATGATTTCTCTTCGAACTTGTGTGTAGACCTGTCTTTGAATGGGCTTGATGCCTTCTACTTCCCCAAGGGCAGAATGGCCTTGCTGTTAGGGATGGGTTGGCCGGGGAGGGGGGGTGAATGCGTTTTCAGAATGTGTCAGAGAGTTGCCTGTGGCCTTGATGCACATCACTGCTTTGGTTTCAAGCACCCCAGAGCGGTGCAGCGTTGTCGGTGGGGTGAAGGGGATGGTGGCTGGTTGAGGTTTGGACAAACGCAGTTTGAGGTGAGCCATGTGTTTATGATGCTGTTACGTTTAGGGAAGCCACTTCTGAGGGCAATGGACCTCCTTGAATGCGAGAATGCTAATGGGCCTGCGTAACCCCATGTTTTATTGCTTCCTGGTAGTATATTGATTGCTTCTGACCACTCTGACCTTGTTGCTTTTCCAACCTATGTGAGCTTTAGACTGCATTAATGTAAGGGTTTTTTTGAAGCAGATGACACAGCTGAGCTTGCAGCTTCAGGTAGTAAAGGATGTAGCTGTTTGCTGCTAGCCCAAGATGCAGGCACGAGGCTTGTTATACTTTTCATAATGGCATCAGTTCTTTGAGTTCCCTGTCTGCGTTTTGATCGATTACCCTAACTGTCTTTCCAGTGGCTTCCACAGCAACAGCAGAATATGGTGGAGGAGCTGAGTGTGTAGATGAGTTAGGATGCAGTTGGCTGAAACCCATCACACTTCCCCCTTGTTCTTGTTTTAATGGTAAAAATTATCAATGGTCTCTAAAGACTATTGTTAATTTGTAACTGGACAAAAGAAGTGTAGTACTTACAGAAGGGGCTGTAATTCTTTATTCTGGTTTGTTGATGCACTGTTGAACCTCTGAAATGCTGCCCTCAATTCTTCTGTATTTTTTTTTATCTGAATACAAATTGAACCAAGTAGAAGTGAAATTTGAACATAATCGTAACAGGCTGTATTTTAGGATCCACTCTGAAGGATACTAGAATTTGGAAGAGTTGTTCAGCTGCTCTGACGATCAGTCTCAAAGATGCAGGGTTAAAGAGCATTTTGAAAATGAGGACCATGAAGAATTTAATTCTATAATAGTGATATCAACTTCCTGGATAATTGCAGTAGTTATAGGTAAAATATGTCTTAGAAATTCTTGGCAGACTTTCTAGTAAGAGGAAAAGCAGAATTACTTTCAGTAGTGTGCTAATGGCAAGTCAGTCTGAAAAATGTTTGAAGGGAAAAATATGCAAATAGGGTATTCCACTGAAAACATGCACATACATTGAAAAATTCAGAAGAAAACACCTATATGGCACAAGCTGATTAGAAAGAAGGAAACGGAATAAATTATTCTTTTCCTTCAGACAATTTGTATTAAAGTTTAAGTAACTGTCTGTGTATCTTTCTTACTTCCATCCTGTGTTGCTGTCACACACAGCTTTATGTCTGTGCTTTGCATTTTGAAAATATTTAGTGTTTGTTTATGCAACAAAACTACTGTCAACACCATGAATGTGGTAGAGACATTTTTCGGCAGGCAGGGCTACACTGTCTGTCTGAGCAGCACAAGCTGAACTACTAGAACATTGCCCACATCCAGCACTTTAATTTCACGGGAGTGTCAGCAAGGGTGGGATACGTTGTATCTTTGATTGATTTTTCTAGATATTTAAATAGCATGTAATTACTTTGTGGTATAGACCTAACCTTTGTCAAGTGTTGCTTGCATGCTTGTGTGTAATATTTGTCTGGCTTCCCCATGAATCTCCTTTGGAATCTTGCTAACTGAAGTACCTCAATGGCAAGGTGATTCAAATGACAACGGTAGTCATGGTGGAAATATATACACCTCTTTCTTGAAATATCATGATAGAAAATAATGTTTTAATAGTAGGATAATAACAATGCAATTCCGGTTGATCTTATGTTTTAAAAGAGCTGTATCCTTAAAATAGTTTTTCCAGAAGGGATGTTTAATTTACTCATCCTGCAAGGATTTAAGATGGAGAAAGTCTTGTCGATATGTTTTTGGTTTTTTTAAACTCTAGAGGACAACATGTTGATAGGGCATGATGGTTCTGTTGTGCTTTAGTGCAGCAGCAAAAAGATCACCACACTGGAACAGGCTGCCCAGGGAAGTGGTTGAATCACCATCCCTGGTGGTATTTAGAAGACGTGTAGATGTGGTGCTTAAGGACATGGTTTCGTGGTGGTTTTGGCAGTGTTAGGTTAACATTGGACTCGATCTTAAAGGTCCCTTCCAACCTAGGCAATTCAATGATTCTGTGATTCATGTAACTACATCTGTTCATCAGCTTTACCTTATTTCATTTGTAGATCTAAAGATACGGGCATAAGATGTGAATTTAGTTCTGACTTTGCTTCTTCCTTCTTCGGCCCTGCTCATGATTCTTCTGTGGTCCCCTTTGGTCTAGGGCATTCCTGGATCTTGCAGCTTGACTTTTATTTTTTTTTAATTATTGCTTTTTTCTCTGTGTAAGAAGATGTATTTGTGTCTCCAAAATATATAGTTTCCTTGAAAGAAATGGGGTTTTGAAGTAGATATAGGCAGCTGGATGATGCAACTGAAGTGATTATCTGGAGCTGTTGCTGCCTTTGTATGCTGGTTTTATTTGCATGTTGAAAGCATTTATTGCTTTGGGGTTTTTTGTTTGAGTTGAAGTGCTGCTTTCAAGTAAATTTTTCATGAAGTAGATCCTGTATTTGTCACTTTTTTTCCTCTCTCTCAAATGTCTTTTCTAAATCTGTTTGCAGCTGGGTCTCGGGCATCTTACAGCAGCCAGCACAGCCACCTTGGCTCCGAGTTAAGGGCACTGCAGTCTCCAGAACACCATATAGATCCTATTTACGAAGACAGAGTTTATCAGAAGCCCCCTATGAGGAGTCTCAGCCAGAGTCAGGGGGACCCTCTGCAACCAGCACACACAGGCACATATCGCACTAGTACAGGTAGGTGGATGTGATTTGCATGATTGTCTTTTTATGAGATATACCTTATTCTTCAGTACTTATTATTCTTCTCTTTCTAATGGGCTTAACAAAATGTGTTATGTGCATGCCAGTCGAACAAAATACCTTGTGCAGATGGTAGCTCTATCAATAGAACCCCAAAGGCATGCATAAATAGGAGAAATACTTAAAGTTGTGCTATCTGTACAGTAGGTTAAGCTAATTTGGGGAGAGTGCTTACTCATGAGGAGACAGAGGATATTTTTATTAATCCTGTGTATTGTCTTTGAGGAAAATCTGTTTCTCTGAAGAAATTGCTAGGATTTCTTGCTTGCAAAGGTATTTTCTGTGTTGCGAAGGAACCGCAAAGTTCTTTCCACGTAAAGTGAAAGGATTGTTCACTTACTTTCAAAGTAGATCATACATAAATGTTCTTCCTCTCTCCTACAGAGGTACACTTAGGTACAGGTACACAGATGTATGCCTATTGAACTATGGCATAGAGAGAAGCTGTTAGCATCAGTGGTTTATCCATAAATAATAATGATTGTCCATGAAATGCACTGGTGTACAAGTCCTACTTGCAGAATGTCCTCTCAACCAAATGAAATACAGCTGTATGTTGGAACCCACAAATAGATCACAAATCAACAGGGATATTTATGGTATTTAATGCAGAAAATAATTAGAGTACATAAATGCTACAGCCAAAATAGCCTAAAGCAGATGTAGAAAGAACTTGCCTTAGGAATTGTGAGTATTTCTGTTTTTTTATGTTTGCTGTGTTGATCAAAGAGGCAAGATTATGTCCATTCTCAGATCACTCCCATTTTCATCAAGAAAAGGTTACATGTACTTTTTGGAGCAAGATACTCTGCTTTCTTCTAAAGCTTTATTATTTTTTTTATTTTTAAGAACCATTTATCCACGGACAAAGCTGGCAGTTTTTGCATGTCCAAAAATTTCTATTGCTTTATGCGAATTTTAGATGTTTGGAGTACAGCAGAAAATCCTTAAAAAGAAGTTTTTCCACAGAATTCTCTAGTTAAATGCCTGTCACAGCTTATATTTTTTGAAGAGTACTATCACACCACTTTCTTCCTGTGAAAAGAAAGGAATGTAGTATGTTTTGTTTAGAGTCATATGTGCATATAATAAAATATTTGTCCCCTTCATGCAAAGGAGAGTATACCTCTGCCTAAATCGCTGAGCAGAGGAGGCAAGGATGGTGAACAAAGTGGCTATTTCTGTTGAACTTTATGCCTCATGTTCCACATGTGGCCGGCTTGTATTTCCTATGTGATGTGCTCTTTCCCAGTCATGCCCTGAAGAGGGTTTCTTGTTTTACTTGCAAAATATCCTGTGCTTCCCTGCGCTGAAGTAGCAGGCTGGCTTGGAACTGCAATCTTCACAACACCTCCTTAAGGAAGGAAACCCTCTCAACATAGATCACAATTATAGTGAACAAAACAGGGAGGCAGGATGTTTGGGGGTAATACCTGGAGATGTGTTTTCAGAAGGGAAGAGGAAAAGCTAAAAAAAAAAATGTACTGGTTTGGATAGCAGAAGTGGGCCCTGTGAAGGTGAATTCTCTTTTGCTGTTTGGGGTATGGATTTGAACGTTGCTCCAGGCTCGTTCTGAAGAATGACCCCATCAGTCCAGGTTCACGTTGGGTTGATCCTCCCTTGCTTTCCCCCTCCACCCCTATCATCAGGGTCAGGGGAAATAAAAGCAGGTGGATGCGTGCCAGGCCAATTATTCTGTTGCTCTGTCGATAGCTGTTAGCTGCGGATGCTGTCAGCCTTGCACACAACCAGGCTGAAGAGCTGTCAGTGCTCAGAGGGAATTTTGAGCTGGATCAGATCAGCTCTCAGACTCCTCCTGCCTCTACCAAAAATGCCTGTAGGAACATATCCCTTCTGATGGAGACGATACATCTTGTTGAGTTTTATTTTTTCCTCAAAGTAGCAGAAAGGAGGGGAAGGAAATCAGCTGAAGTTTGTCACGCATAACTTTTTATTTCTTCTTTGGGTTGTATCAAGTGTTTATTTTGTAGGACTGAATAACTAGTTGTCTTGACTATTTGGTACAAGATATGAGGGACGTAGATTGCTGCATACTCCCAGAAGATAAGTGCCAAGGGTTTATGGCCCATATCTTCTGTGTGCATGAATTGCACCAGGGAGGGGGAAAGCTTTAAGACTTCAGTGTGCTCCTTTATAGCCCATAGTTCATATTCTTTTGTCTATTACAGCAGTACCTTTAATTGTGAAGATGGTGCATGCTTTTCCACATCTGATGGAATAAAAAAGGGAAGGCAAACTTAGTCTAAGGACTTTGTCCAAAGCCTTTATTTTTTTTCTCTGTAGCTAACATTGGCTATTAGAGACAAAAATTATGCTAGTTATACTTGCAAGCCATTTACTTCTGTATGGATTTTTTTAAAAAGAGAACATTCTTCCTGAATTTGAAAATTTCACTGAATTTGGAAGATAAGTGACTCACAGGATGGAAACTTTTTTTTTTTTTTTAAATATAGACATCACCACTTTCTCTTTTGTGAGCTCTTCAATACTTATTAAATTCAGGAATGTTTCTACAACTACGGATAATGTCCACTCAGAGGTTTTCATCCTCTATGTGAATAAGCATTCAATGAGCAGAATTCAATAAGCTAAAATTTCTCTATGTGGTAAACTAGATTAAATTTGTTCTATTTACTCACTGGTTTTCTAAGTGTTTGGTTTTTTGGGTTATTTTAACTTTCATATTTTCCTTGTATTTCACTTGTGAATGAAATGCATGACGATAGTTCTGCACTAAGGGCTGCAAATTACAGATGGTACAAAACAGTAGGAATTTACTGAACATCTCCCTTGCTAGCATAACTTTAGAAGGGGGCAGGATGAATTCTTCATTACTTTGTGGTTTAAATTATGACCAGGTATGTTACTATCATGCTGTCTAAACTGAAAATAATCTTTCAAACTTGACAGCAGTAGCTAACAATCCCTTTTCATCTTCCAAGGCAAATGTCTTCTCTCATATAAAAAGTACCAGCCCAAACTCTTGTGCTAAAAGTAGCAATGAACATGAAAGTCTACTTTTGCAATGGAAATCCTCAAAAGATGTACTTAGAGGGAGTACTCAGAATAAAAAAACCAAATTAATTTACTTACTGAATAGCAACTTAGAACTTGTATTTGTAACCCAAGTAAATAACAGTAATAATTTATGTTCAGGCAGGTGTGTTACTTATTTTCATTATGTCATTGTTTCAGCTGGGATAGAGTTGACTTTATTGCTGGCAGCTGGTTTTGGATTTGGGATGCAAGTGGTGTTGATAGCACAGTGGTGCTTTCAGTTGTTGCTGAGCTCTCAAGGCCTCTTTTGCTCCTCATATTGCCCTACCAGCAAGCAAGCTGGGGGTGCACAAGAAGTTTGGAGGACACACGGCCAGGACAGCTGACCCAAACTGACCAAAGGGATGTTCCATACCATACGGCATCATGCTCAGCATATAAAGCTGGGGGAAGAAGGAAGCGAGGGACATTCAGAGTTTCGGCACGACCCAAACTGACCAAAGGGATGTTCCATACCATACGGCATCATGCTCAGCATATAAAGCTGGGGGAAGAAGGAAGCGAGGGACATTCAGAGTTTCGGCACTTTGTCTTCCCAAGTAACCATTATGCGTGATGGAGCCCCGCTTTCCTGGAGATGGCTGAACACCTGCCTGCCGATGGGAAGCGGTGAATGAATTCCTTGCTTTGTTTTGCTTGCATGCATGGCTTTTGCTTTACTTATTAAACTGTCTTTATTTCAACCCGCAAATTTTCTCACTTTCACTCTTCTGATTCTCTTCCTTCATCCCACTGGAAAGAGGAGTGAGTGAGTGTCTGCATGGTGCTTAGTTGCTGACTGGTGTTAAAAAATGGGGTTAAACCACGACAGTCTTTTTTTGGTGCCCCACATTGGGCACCGAAAAGGACTGACGCGTTTTAATCTCAGCTGGCAACTAGCACTGCGCAGCTACTCACTGAGTCCTCACTTCCCCCAGAAGGGTAGGGAGAAAAGGAAGGCAAAGAAAAAAAACCTCACGAGTTGAAATGGAGACGGTTTATTAGAACAATAACAGCAATAATAATGGAAAAAAGAATATACATGATGAAGTAATACACCATAAATTGCTCTTACCACCCAGTGAATTGATTGCCCAGCCTGTTCTGAGCAGTGACAGCGGATTCCTAGCCCCTGCCCAACCTGATATAAAGCTGGGGGAAGAAGGAAGCGAGGGACATTCAGAGTTTCGGCACTTTGTCTTCCCAAGTAACCATTATGCGTGATGGAGCCCCGCTTTCCTGGAGATGGCTGAACACCTGCCTGCCGATGGGAAGCGGTGAATGAATTCCTTGCTTTGTTTTGCTTGCATGCATGGCTTTTGCTTTACTTATTAAACTGTCTTTATTTCAACCCGCAAATTTTCTCACTTTCACTCTTCTGATTCTCTTCCTTCATCCCACTGGAAAGAGGAGTGAGTGAGTGTCTGCATGGTGCTTAGTTGCTGACTGGTGTTAAAAAATGGGGTTAAACCACGACAGTTGAGCAGTGACAGCGGATTCCTAGCCCCTGCCCAACCTGTATTTATATACTGAGCATGATGTCTATGGTATGGAATATTCCATCAGCCAGCTTGTTCTGTCTGTGCTGCTTCTCAGCTTCTATGGGAAGCTGAAAAGAGCCCTTGACTAATATAAACATCACCTGGCACCAACTAAGACAATATGCAGTATCTACATTCCTTTCATACCAAATCTGAAAAACAGCAGCCACTAGAAAGAAAATTAACTCCATGTTGGCTGAAACCAGGATTGTATCCACCCCTGGTCTGGGGGACACCCCTGGCTGTCCCTCTGGTGTTTAGGTTAAACCATGACACCTTGTAAATATAAAGGCTTTGCATTGTTAATTTAAAATCTAAGTTAATAATAGTAGAGAT